CACTACAAATGTTGTTCGAATACAGATCATTCCGTCTTTGGAACCTTGTGCATCTGCACTTGCTCCTCAAAAGTGTGGAGCTGGTTCCTCAAAGTGTACTTAACAACTAAGGGTCTGAAGGCATAAGACATCCTGACTTGTCTTACCGGGAGGTGGTTGCCTAGAAGCTTGCCCTTGTATGGATATGAACGTGTCAATTGATAGGCTAAAGACTCCAACTTAGAGTCATATCGTCCAATGGAGAAACCTCTAAATGCCACCATTCCTAGGCGGCTGCCCTATGATAGGAATCCTAGAAGCTAGATGGTTGTGCATGGTATCAGATTATCATCCATCCTATGTGCTTTCTATTTTCAAATCCAGGGTACTAAAATTGGTTGATACACTATCTACCAAGCATTCTTTACAATTGTACCAAAGGTTCCACCAACACCACCACCAAATTAAAAGAAAAAAAAAAGAAAGAAAAAGAACTAAAAGCAAATCCTAAAAGCAAATTCAAAAAGCACACACAAGAAAAAATAAAGCTAAATATGATAACACCCTAAAAAAAAATCCACACAATCAACAATTAAAACAAACAGTCAAACAAAAGAAATTATTCTAAATTAAAAACTAAATCCTATGAATAAAAACAAAATATGCAAAACAATACAAACATGCAAACTAAATGAACACGAACATGCAAACATCACACAACGATAACAAGCACTAAAAAGAACTAAAGCTAAAAGATAGAAAAATCACATCGGGTCACGCTTAAACTTGAAGCACATGACACACCGCAACGTTTCCCCCATTGCGATCTTCCTGCAAAATAAAAACAAACACGAATGAAACTATCCTGATGAAATTAAAGAACATAGAAAATTAGACTTAAAGTATTACAAACCCAAATACACACAAAGTCAAAAGCACGTTGCTCCCCCGGCAATGGCGCCAAAATTTTCTTAACTGGTCATCACGGTCACAAAATAAACCTAAATACCGTAGTTAGCGGTAAGCAGGGTTGAATCCACAGAGAGCAAGACTAACGACCTAATCTATATTTGAGTTAACGAAAGAAAAATTGGCAAAATGATTGATTAAAACTAAGGAAACTAATTACTTGCAAAAATTAAAAGCATTAAATATTGCTAACTAAAACACAATATTAAAAGCGTTGTCGCTACGGGTTCGGTTTGACTCAAGACCAACTCTCACATTCTCTCCTCGCTCTTCAATTTCCTAATCCTACAAGGCTAGGCAAATCCATAGAAATATCTCCCGGCAATCTAGGCATAATCTATCCTGTCTCCCCGTCGTCTTAGTTACAGATCGATTGGTTAAAGACTATCATTGACTAACCGAAAAATGCTAAACCCTTAAACACCACTAGTTGGTACAACGTTAACAAGTACAACCTATCAACCTGTATCATCCAATCAACTAATTACACAATAAATGCATTCCTAGTAGAAATGATATTAAACGCTACTACAACTTGATTGCAATCAGTACAGAAGCAATTTAAAGTCATAATCAACATTCAATAATCTCAAACCGACATTCAATTATGCGAAAAGTTATATATCAATAAACGTTCTCAATGGACATTATCAATTCAACACGTCGGGCATCAGAATAATATTAAAGCATCGCAAACAAACTGAAACGGAAACAAATATAATCTGAATACAAGAAACTTAACCAAATATCCAACATTCGGGCTCATCCAACTAGTCGAGAGCTAATGAGGAGATCAATGGAGTCAATCTCGATCTCGCCTACAAAGTAACAGACAACCAGGAACTCAGCCGCTCATGATGGTGATGACGGAGGCTGAAACGGTGGAAACGAAGCTGATCATGGCGAAGAGGAGGTAACCGGCAGCGATATGATGTGAAGAAGGGCCAATAACGAACAACGGACAGCCCAGAATACGAACAGCCGCACTCGCCAGAAAATGTTAATTTTTCGACAGGTCTTCCAAAAAACGGTAGCAGAAATGAGATCCGAAGGTACCGATGGAAAGCTCTGGTGATGGGGAGTTCAGATCAGGTCCTGGGGAGGTGAGAAGTCATCGGAAATGAGCAAGATCTGGGCTGGAAGATGAAGAGGCACGACGGCAAAATTGCGGATTCCGACGGTTTTCGCGGCGGCTGAAGCATGGGAAGTGTAGATCCGGCCGTGGGGAATGAAGATCAAGTCTTGGGGAGCCGAATCATCGCCGGAAAACTACGAAATCTCGCCTGGAAGACAAAAAGTCGTGGTGGTTGGAAGACGAAACATCGCGACAGCCCTTGGTTCGCGGTGGTGGCTTATGGTAGAGGTTCGCCGGCGGAAGGTGAAGGGTCGCCGGCCTGGAAGATGAAACGTCGCCGGCCGGCGACCAAATTCTGCTGGGAGGCTAGGGTTTTCATTTGGGTTTGCGCGCGCGTCCCCTTTTCACGATGGTCACCTGGAAATTTATACCCATTACAACAAATATCCATTTGGTCCCTGCATATTAAAAAATGACAAAATCAACCCCTTGAAACATGACATTTTACCCCCTGAACGGCATAAATGAGACAAAATCACTCCTAATCCATAAACCACAACCTAATATCAACTCACACCATTTCCAAATTCATCCCAAATATGCTAAATTAATAAGAAAAACTCAAAATATGATTTTTATACATAAATTCATAATTTCTCTTAATTGTCTCAATATAACTTCAATTCAATTACATATGAGATCTTTTTATCAACGAAATAGAGTCACTTTCATGACTCTAACAATTACATAAACTTGCAATAATTATAGAGCTCCTAAGATCCTATGTGACATCCTACGTGGAATCCTATGTAGAGTCCAAATGGCGATCAATTAAGAGGGTGGGATTCAGAATTATATTAATACTAGATGGCACGCCTGCGCGTTGCCCGAGTTTATTTATTATATTTTTTTATTTTATTATTGAATTTTTATATTTTAAGAAATTGTAAATGATTATTATTTCACAAAAAAATATGTCAATTATTGATTATAATAGAACATTTTGTTATTGTTCTTTTTTTTTTTTTAATCGGGTTTTTATGTTTAAAAATTGCTGAGAATCATTATATGATTGCCATTTAGTATGTCGTTAATTGGTCCTCGTGTTTGTTGCTTATTGGTGTTGATAAAATATGGATGATTCACATGCATTCAATTAATGTATGCAATACAGATCTTTCACATTCCTCTTTTAATTTGATAAAATGCAAGTGATGGAAGATTGAAATGGTCAGTTTGTAATTCAGCAGGAATTGAATTAATTGAATTCAATACATAGAAGTTGAAAGTCCCGCAACTTATGAAAGTGGTTTTGACACAAATAAATTAATCAATTGAAGAACGAAATAATATTGGAACATTTTAGTGATAGGAATATATTCCCTTTTCAAAGCAAAAGAAGAGTTGCAAAACTTTTCTTACAACAGTTTGGTACATAATAATATAATTGAAATGACAATTTTGCCCTTCTTAAAATAAGTAGTTCCTGCATGGAATATAACCATTGCTTTGAGGCCAACAGTTAATCTTTCACCATTTTAAAAGGCTGCCTAGCACCATGAAATGAGCAAAAATAAAATAAAATAAAACTTGTCATCCTTCATCATCCAACACAAACTCTATTTGCCACAAAACACAAACTATTACTGGCTACAGAGTCCACAACAAAAACATGTATAACCTATCTAAGAATGTAAGTTTGACTTTTTGATAATAAAATATGCTTCATTGATAAACACTTTGCAATATAACATTGTTTATAAGACGCAGAAAAACAAAATAAATGGACAATATTTTTTTTTTAAATGGTTCATACTGTGTCTACACCAAAAAAGAAGTGTTCATTAAATTATTCCAAATGTCACCCCCATCAATGCTCACTGTGACTATCACCGTGACCATCACTGCCAAAGGTTGGCTGCATAATAAAGGAATCAAAACTTAATCAATTTACGTTTAGAAATAAATCAGTAATAATATGAAATTTCATAAACAAACAATGGTTTAAAATAAGCACCTATGAGTGGGGCAATGGTTGGCTACACTTGGAATGACCACTTCTGGTTGCTCAACAGGTGGTGTATAGGTTGTTGTTATAGGTGGAACAACTCTTAGTCAAGCAAAAAGAGAAAGATGGGAACTGTAGTTCCAAGCTCCATGAATATATCAAAACTGATAATGAAACAGGCATCATTGATTCTCCAAAGAGCTTGATGCTGGAGCTTAGTTCGTCCTCAAGTCAAGAGGTTAGTCAAATTAGCCAAATATGAATATGAATATCCAAGAGTTTGTCAAACATCCGCATATGTTTGAATCCAAACTTAAGTTCTACGCAAAAGTTCACTAAAAACTTAAAAATTTCTATTTGAAAAACTCTTTCTGCAAGAAGTTTGAGTTTATACTCAAAGAAAATAATGGGTTACTAAATTTAGTCTGCTTGCATAAAAGCACCAAGAAAAAAAAAATTTCAACTGCATTTAGACATTAAGAAAACTTAAAGAGTAAGTGCTTTTAAGATTACACTAAGTTGGCACATAAATCATTAAATTTTTACTCTATAAAAGAAAAGTTACCTTTCGAATATGGTCTCTGCTTTCCATCATGTTAGCTGCTGGGTTTGAGAACTAATCAAGTTCATTTATGATAAAAAAAAAAAAAAAAACCAATTAACAAAATGTTACTCATTTATCCCATCACACACACATGCACATGCACACGCATAAACACATACTATATATGCATTAAATGTGAAAAAGTAAGAAAAAGTTGTGCAATTCTTGGAAGCTAATACATTGTGCAGTAGCTAAAACATATCATATCCAATTTGATGGAGATCTATAGACAAAACCATACCATTATGTTGTGTACCATAATCAATCTATAACTTCACATGGAAAATATATGTAATGTATGAAAGAAATAATACCAGACATTGACAGAGTTAGAATGCCATCACCAATAACCATGCTGGTTCCCAAAAGCACTACCAGTAGCAATAGAAGTTACTCACTCCTCAATTGATCTTACGTTTCATCTAGTTTTCTAGCACAACTCTTGTGTTATACAAAGGGCTGCAATCTCACAATACAAACATCATAAGTTCACGGCTTAGTCTAACATATCATAAGAAAATAATGAGAAGGAAACAAAAAAGAAATGAAACCTGTTAGAATCATTCACAATGGCTTCAAAAACAACCTCATCAACCTACAGGAAATCCCAATTCAATTAAATCACAAAAACAATCAAACACCGCCATCAAATTTCCAATAAACATTTGAATTCTTCACACAAACATACCCGCCTAGCAAGGCCAAGGCTAACACGATCAAGAATCTTGAAATCAGACATCTTGAACCTCATAACATGCCCTGACTCTTCTTCCTCCACAGAAACAACCTCAGATTCAACTCGAGAAACAACCTTCCTCGAAGATGAACATTGAACTCTAAAACTTCTCATTTGAAACATCACACATGACTTTGACTTCCCACAAATTGCCTACTAATCAGCCTTGTTGACAAATTCCCACTTAAACTCCATCTCTCAACACCCTCCAAACCTGAATTGGAACCAATCCCACATATCGCCATGTAGCAAATCTGCAAAAAGACAATTTTGGATCATTCCGAAAACAACAACAACTGTAGACGTTTAGTTCTCATGTCATTTTAAGGAACATATAAAAAAAATCAATATTTAAATCTAAGTCATTGAATTATACAAAGAAATGAATCAATCAACACATATAGAATAAGTTTAAGTTCAATTGTCGAGAAACTTATTCACTAATTAATTAAAAAACTTTTAAAATTTAAATCCAGCCCATTAAGTTATACAATGAAATGGAATCTTTAAGAAATGGATTAAAAGGTGTAAAATAGTAATGTAGAATTATGCGTTAACTGTAGAATAAACAGTATTTATATTAGCTGTTGGTATCATCATTCAGTGGGAACAATATACTGTGAATCTTTTATTGATTTTATTGATAATAAAACTGTTTATATATATAGTTCTATTTTTTTCCTTGAGGAATACCAAGTTCATTTTCTTTGGCAATAATCAGGGATTCACGTTTCTGTAAATCGAATATTACATGTATGGTTGAGCCTGTTATTTCTAACAAAGCATTCATTATATCTCTGTTCATCACTCTGGCAGTGTTGAGTTTGTCCAGCGTGACTTTAAGGTTTTGTAGAATACCTTCCAGTTCAGTCGAACCATCTGACGTTGCTGCTTGACCTGCTAAAAATAAAAAAATGGACATGTAAAAGTAGATATGTAGAAGGAATATAAGAGTAATCAGTTGATGTTATTTATCACACGCTTCTGTTTGTTTGGATTTTGGATTGACAATAGTTGGTCTTTTGTCTTCCGTTTGTTAATGGTATCTGTATGAAATGAAAGAAATATTTGAAGGTGTATGGATTGTTGGATTCTCTACTCTTATATAGCTTTAGATGTCATTAAGTAATATTATATGATAATTAATTATTACAACAACTGTTCATGTTATGTTCAATGTAATTGGATTATTGCTAATTAATATAACTTTTGATATTTTTTAGTAAGTGTTTGCATGTTATTGGTTATGGTTATTTTGATTTAAATGTTTTATTGTTATTGGATGAGTTTAAAATTTTCAGATTTATATTAAATGTTAAATAATAATACGTTTTATAAAAAACATTTTTTGTTATTATGTTTGATATTTTTGTTTAATTGAATGTGAAGGGGAAAAGATATATTAATATTAATAATAATTAATTGAATGTGAAGGGGTACAAAAATATTAATATTAATTAATAATAATAATTAATATGCATGAATGAACGTTAAATATTAATGGATTAATAAAGTGTATTATTGAATTTCATGAATGTGAAAAGATATGTTGTATCTTTATCAAATTAAAAGAGGAATGTGAAAGATTTGTATTGAATACATTAATTGAATGCATGTGAATAATTTCTCCCAATATTCATGGAAATCAATAACACACAAGCGAATCATTAGTAATTTATCAAATTAAAAGAGGAATGTGAAATATCTCAAATTAAAAGAGGAATGTGAAAGATTTGTATTGAATACATTAATTGAATGCATGTGAATAATTTCTATTATAGCAATCTCTTAATATTCATGGAAATCAATAACACACAAGCGAATCATTAGTAATTTATCAAATTAAAAGAGGAATGTGAAAGATCACAAATTAAAAGAGGAATGTGAAAGATTTATATTGAATACATTAATTGAATGCATGTGAATAATCCCTATTATAGCAAGCCTAATAAACAACAAACACGTGGACCAATTAACGACATCCTACATGGCGATCATATATCAATACTTCGTGGCGTCAGAAGAAGCAGTCTGCTTCAGCATTATATAAATAAATAGATATGGATTATTTAAATAAAAATATAATTATTTAAAAAATTAAATAGTTAAAATATTTTAAAAAATTTAAATAAAAAATTTGAAAATTAAAAAATATATATCTGGCAAGAATTTTGTTCACTTTTCACCTTTTTATTATTGTTGATGCAAAAATACACAAACTAGAACGATTCGATCAACCTTGATGGGATCAAAACTGATGTGTGCATGATGACGGGTAATCAACAATTTAAGAATGGAAAAATGAAATAAACTAAATGGCATAATGAGTTTTTAAAGTGGTTCGGCGAGTTACACTCTTGAGCCTACGTCCACTATTTTTGTATTTACTGTGAGAGCTTACAATAATAGTCCTAGAACAATTTTCTAACCTCTTTCTCATCGTTGGAGGGGGTTTTTATATAGATTTTGTACAAAGAAAAGAGCGAAAATAAAGAGATTACAATTAAGATTGAAATGCAGCTCCGATATTCTCGCGATTGAGCGCTGAGATTGCGTAAGATTGCTGTCGGTTTGATACTTTCGAGATATCTGGGATCTGAAGTTATCTGTGAGCTGGTTGAACAATTGTAAAGATCAATCGCAACTAGCTTGTGCTAGGTCAAGCTATAACTCGACGAACTTATGTTGGATTGGAAAATCAATTGGATCGAACAGATTCTGGATCGAGCTACAACCTCACAATTCTCCGAGCTTGACAGAAAAATCACACACAACATTTACCCTCTAGTGTTCGGTGCTCATTTTGAGCTTTGAAGACTATTACTCGATTTGGTATCAAGCTCGGACTTTTTCGGTTGTGCGCTGAATTCAGATTTGGTTGGGCTTCATGGGTCAGACTCATTTTCGATTGACTTACTCAGCACTTGGCTTTTTCTTTGTTGTGATACTCTTGGCAGACTTAAAATTTGAAATAAAGGGTATTTGTGTAAATTTCACGCGGTCATGTCGCATTAAATGTGGTAGCCTTTGGCAATTACTTTTCGTTGCGTGGGCGACTACAACTGTCCACGTGCAAAGTTGAGGTGACATGCAGCGATGGTTATGATTGTGCCAGTCTGACGGTTGATCGCCCCTCACAGATGATTGATACGTGGCCACGTCCAAGGGCCAAGATTACGCGACGAATGGAAGGCTGAGATTCATTGTAGATCGATGGCTACGATCGAACCCTGCCTTTTCGTCTCTCATGCAAATCACTATAAAAGCAGGCAAACTCGTCAGAAAGTCTACACACTTTGCAAAAGTTCTTAGATTTTCTTATTCATTCCGTCGCTGCTCCATTTTCATGGTGCTTTTTCGGCGAGTTTGTCCCATTTTTTACTCCGGTAAGGTTTCTTTCCCTTTCTCTACTTGTTTTCATAACTTTTGCGGTTGAGGGTGGCCATTTTCATGGCCACATTAAGCTTTTTAGGGCTTTGTTAGGGTTTTTGATTATGTTTTTGACGGTTCTAGGTTTAAAGAGGGTTTATGGCTGTGGCCACGGGAATCCTGGTAGGTCGCTTGTGTCTGTTATCGACGTGAGATACCCTGGGTGCTTGAACTGAAAGCAAAGTGTGGATTGGTCATTGAATGTTTGAGCTCTGAAACATGTTTGCTTCTGTTTCAAGTATCTAGAGGCGAGCTATCATCATGTAGCCATACCATTGACCGCATGTTCGATACCCCAACAGGCTTGGTAGTTCTTGGGGGCGTAGTCCTTGAGGTTTTTGAGGATGTCATCATACGGAGCTCAGACCCTGATGCAACAGGCTCTTTCGACCATGCTTCTGTGGAGACCACTTAGCTGAAGAGGTCTCTTATATGTAGGCCACGCAAGGAACCACAATCCTCGATTGGGGCTAAGGATCTTAGGCGCATAAATGAAACTTATGCGCCTCAACTTAACTTGAGGGTTTCGGGAGGCTTCTCTTGGAAGAATCCACCCACAGGCTGTGTGGCGGTCTCTAAGCCCCTTATGAGGTGTGGGCTATCCATTCCCGCCTATCATTTCATCGATAGTGTCTTGAGACGATTCGACATCGTCCCTCTCCAGCTATCAGTGAACTCTTATATTATAATTGTAGTTTTGTACATAGCATACCAAATAGCCGAGTTGGGCAAGCCATTTGTAGAGGAACTCGTCCATTTGTATAGGTTAAAAAAGGGTCAAGATCAAACGTACTACCTCTCTAAGGCGAGGAAAGTACATTTCAATAGTTTGGTGGATATTCTGAAGAAGGTCCCGCATTGGGATTATCAATTTTTCTTTTATGAGGCTGGGGAGACCGACGTTTTTGCTTCAGAAGCTAGTAAGAATTTGATCCTTGCGTGCACGAAGAGTGTTGCCAAGCTTGATCGTTGAACTAACCACATTTCTTTGCTTTGCAGTAAACGTCGAGCAAAATTTTCTTCCTAAGGTAAACTTAGAGCGGCTTCAACGATTTAACAATCTTTCTGATAGGGAGCGTAATGTTAACGAGATTATCTCGTTTCCTCGGTTGAGGGTGTATGGCTTTTGCACAGATGAAGCCACATTTAACACTATTCTTGAGAAAGGTAATGTGTTTACTTGCTCGTTTTCCCCTATTTTTTTTAGGTCGCTAATTGTTTGCTTCTCCTTTCGCAGATATGTGGGCTGAGAAACCAAATGGCCTGAAGAAGAAGACGGCAGCGCCCAAGGCTGTCAAGAAACCGTCTGTTGCTCCGATAAAGAAGCAACCTATTGATGCTGCTAGGATGGTTGGGCAGGGTGCCTCACGCCCGATCTTGAAGTGCAGCGATGGCAAGTTTGGGGAAGGGCCAAGTGCCAAGAAGCCTACGACTGCCTCTAAGGCAATCGGGGACAAAGGTGCCCCTGAGCTCTAAAAGGGGATGTCGAAGAAAACTTTTGAGCTAACTAAAGGCTCAGGGAAGTAGAAGGCGCTTGAGCAGTATGATGGATCAGGCAAGAAGAAGTCGATCGAGCCGCAAGGAGGCTCGGGAAAACAGAAGGTTGCTAAGCAACAAGCTGGCTTGGGCAAAG